TATATATACAGTATGTATGAGAGAGAGAGAGAGAGAGAGAGAGAGAGAGAGAGAGAGAGAGAGAGAGAGAGAGAGAGAGATGAAAGGATTGAGCTGTATTAAAAATCTGAGCTAGGTTCAGGAGGAGTCATGGGAGAACTGTTTGTTATAATCATGTAACAGGCATCTGCAGTGACATGTTAATAAACTAATCCTTGAAGATTGAAGCAGATAGAGTGCTAAGTCCTGCGAGAAAGCACACACAGCAGAATTGAAGTTTCCACTGGGATTTGGGGATGCGGGGGTATGCAGTACTTGGAGTGGGGTGTGCTGCTTATGGGGCTTCACTCTTGGGGTTTCCTGTGAGCATTTGTGCACATAAAGCACGCCTCAACTCGGCCGACTACACACGGGTTGCATTCGGCATGGTGCTCCCTCCAAATCGCGTGCTTGTAAATTGGAGTTGACTCACAACCACAGACAGTCCGACACGTTTCTGTGTCACACATGCCCGCACAGTCAACTCGCCCCGTTCTGTCATATAGCATGTGTATATGTGACGCTTCGCCGCTATTTTGCTTCTTTGTTTTGCTCAAACACACAACACAGCAGCCACTGCAGAGAAGCGCCATGCCAAAGATGCCTTGCAGAAGGGGAATGGAAAAAAAGCAATACTGCGGGCAAAAAGAAGAGCAGTGAGGCTGATGGGAGAGAGAGTGCAGCCTGGCAGAGAAAGGCCCTTTGCAGTGGAAGCAGAACAATGGAGTAAAACCAACACAACTCAACAACAATGAAGCTTAAATCTCTTGACAGATGGGGATGAAACTATCAAATCTTACACCATGTCACTTTTGAGCTCCAGGGAAACAAGTGAGGAGTGGGACTAATATAGATATTGTATACTGTATATGAGTAAATCTAGTATGTCTTGGAAAGCCTAACAGGCAAGTTCTGTAGTTTAGTTTGTTGCAACACCAACACCGTAGCTTGCACGATAGTTAATTTGCCTCGGCTACTTCAAAGCATAGGGACTCATTCTATCCCCTGCATATTCCTGCAAACCTTATTACCAGCCGCTCTTATTGGAGCGGGGATTACAAGAGTCTGTCATTTCTAGCCCTGCCAGGCCAGAGACTTTGTCATGTGAGCTCAGAGACAAGGTTCAGGCTGCGAAATGAGTTGTCTCCCTAACAGACAGCTTACGTTTGGTGTGGACTTGCGCATGCATATGCATCAGGTGCCTGTCTGCATTTGTGCTCGGTCTGCATAATGATCCTCTTCTCCAACAAAGTTACCAGTGGGGTTCTGCTGAACAGAACTTTACAGCCTTGTTGTCTCCTGTCAAGAAACTTGCAGTAACCCTTAATGGCTGTGTTTGCTTTCCAGCATAATCCACTTTCTTATAATGATCCTGTTATTGGAGTACTAGCTCCAATCTTTGTGTGTGTGTGTGTGTGTGTGTGTGTGTGTGTGTGTGTGTGTGTGTGTGTGTGTGTGTG